CCCCCCCCCCCCCCCCCAGGGATCGTGTTCTCTTCTCTAGGAGCGGCGATGCAATGCCTGGTCGGTGCTTCCAGGCTGGTGGCCGCCATCGCTAATGACCACACGATCCCGCTCCTGAGGCCGTTCGCCCCGAAGCCTGACGAGGAGCCCAACAAGGCCGTTTTCCTCGTGTGGGTGCTGGCGTCCCTCCCGTGTCTGGCCGGCAACCTGGACTACATTACCCCGGTCATGACCATGTTCTTCCTGCTCATGTGAGGGGTCTGTTGTTGTTGTTGTTGGTGTTGGTGTTGGTGTTGGTGTTGGTGTTGGTGTTATTGGTGGTGTTATTGGTGGTGTTGTTGGTGTTGTTGTTGTTGGTGTTGGTGTTGGTGTTGGTGTTGGTGTTGGTGTTGGTGTTGGTGTTGGTGTTGGTGATGGTGTGGCGATGTCGGCGGCGTTTACGGCTGCTCTTATACCATACGTACGGGCACTATTGACGCGAGCGCGCCAAGCAAAGTGAATAAACACCCATCCAAACGAAGGGAGGTTAAGACGTAAGACGTAAGACGTTGTGGGGTTGACGGTGGTCGTGTAGGCGGTGGTGTGCCAAGTTAACGCGAGTGCGCCAGGCGAAGTTGTCAGCAAAGACCATCTAAACGAAAGCAGGGCAACGAAGTTGTTGTAGTTGTAGTTGTAGTTGTAGTTGTAGTTGTAGTTGTAGTTGTAGTTGTAGTAGTTGTTGTTGTTGTTGTAGTTGGTGGTGGTGGGGACGCTGGAAGTTTTGCCGGGTATGTTGCTGGTGGTGATGGCGATGGCAAATATCGGGGCTGAAATGACACCGTGCGCGATACGGCACATGGTGTCTACACCCTATGCGTCCCCTGCTTTGTCGTAGTTCATTCTCAACAACGAGCACCACCACCGCAACAACAATGTCCTTATCCTTAGCCACGACACGACAACACCAACACAAACGACGGCCTAGGTACGCGTGCGTGAACCTGAGCTGCTTCGTCCTGAGCATCCTGCAGAGCCCCGGCTTCCGCCCCAAGTGGAAGCACTACAACTGGCTTACCGCGCTGTCCGGCTTTATCCTCTGCCTCGCCATCATGCTGGTTGTGAGCTGGAGGGTAAGCTTTGTGTGTTGTGGTCAATGTGCACAGTCCGGTGTTGGCTGGCACGTGTGCCGTAAGCAGCCTGGGCTACATGATGGTTTCCGTCTTGGCATGTAAGGTCTCGGGGTTGTAGCTCGTGACAGCGGAAAATTCTTGTGTTTGTTGTCGAGAAGAAGGGGGTGCTAGGCAGGAGGCGAAGCCATTGCAGACGAGGGTACGACACAACAAGTGTATGTATGCTAAGCGTGTGAGCTGACGCCTTGGAAGTGTTTCTATACCCTGTAGTGTCGCCCGTTTTGACTGAAGAGCTCCAGCCTAGCATCGCACGCAAGCAAAAAGAAGAACTGTGCGGTCCATTCAAGCTTGTCTTCTGCGGCGAGGGTTTTAAGCGGCTCGTTCCCTCAAATGCGTTCAACAATAGGTACTTTCGACTGTGCTCGGTACGAAAATGGTACGAAATTGTGTGTACGCCCAGGTTTCGTTTTGTTCCGAGAGGAAATGGCAACTATTATCCCTGGCTACACGGTGGTGCACACTTGATTTTGTGTTTAGTGGTGGTGCTATTGTCTGTAGATTATGATTTCCTACAACCAGCTGCGGCTCTGATAGCAGTAGTGTACGCAGCAAAATTGATCAAGCAAATATATGGGATAAAATGTTCAATCTGTGCTTTAGGGTTAGGGTTAGGGATAGGGTCTGCGTGCCCCCTCCTTATTCTTTTTCAGGGGACTCTTTCTGCGTAGGCGGTCCTCTAATAGTGGAGCGGTGGGTTTTCCACTCGGTATTATCACCTGGCAAGATAAAGATTTCGAATATTCACGGCAAAATATTTTCTTTCATGCGTTTTGCCCCGAACCTCCCCTCCCCCCCCCCCCCCCCCCCCCCCCCCCCCCCCCCCCC